AAAAAGATATATCATATAGATATTAATTAAAAGAATGTTGGAGCATTTATACTACATGGTTTTAAGATAAAACTTCTGTTATCAAGACAGCTTGATATTGGTGAAAAGATAGACACAGTGATCAATGAATCATTACAGGAAGTCCAGAAATTGATACATACATGTATGCCAATGAACTTTATACAAAGATGCAAACACAATTCCATAGAAAATGGATAGTCTTTTCAACAAATGATGATGGAACAATTGGGCATCTTATTAAAAAAATAAACTTCAACCTATAAACACCTTAAATAAAAATTAACTCAAACTGAACCATAGATCTAAATGTACAATTAAAACTGTAACACATTTAGAAGAAAATATAAAAGAATATCTTTGTGACTTTGGGTTAGGCAAAGTGTTTTAAATATAACACCCAAATCAGGATCTATAAAAAAATTGATGAATTTGACTTTATAAAGATTAAAAGCTTTTGCTCTATAAAAGATGCTATTAAGAGAATAAAAAGACAAGCTAGAGACTGAAGAAAATATTTGGAAATTACACATCCAATAAAAGATTTACATTTGGAATACGTAAATAACTCTTAAAATTCAACAAAAAGAAAACAATAACTGAGTTTTTTAAAAATTTGCAGAAGACTTGAACAGACATTTCACCAGAGAGGACATACAGATGTCAAATGAGCACACAAAAAGATGCTCGAATCATTGGTCATCAGTAAAATGCGAATTAAATCACAATCAAGTGCCACTACACCCATTAGAATGGCTGAAATATTAATAAATACTGACGATACATACAAGTGCTAGCAAAGGCAGAACAATGGGAACATTCATACATTCTAGTGGGAATGCGAAATGCTACAGCCATTTTGAAAACTGGCAATTTCTTATAAAGTTAAAGATACATGAATATGTGACCTACCAATCCCACTCTTAACATTCATACAAAAATCTGTACGCAAATGCTTACAACAGGATTATTAATAATTGCCAAGAACTAGAAACAACCCAAATGTTCTTCAACAGGTGAGTTGATAAACTGTGGTACTGCCCAGACAGTGGATGCTCTGCAATAGAAAGCAACGCGTTATTGACGCATGCAACAACACGGATAAAGCTAAAGTTCATTAGGCTAAGTGAAAGAAGCCAGTCTCCGAAAGTTACATACTGTCTAATCCCACTTACATGACATTCTGGAAAAGAGAAAGCAACAGAGGCAGAGAACAGAAGGTGGTTGCCAGGGATTAGTGGT